TGCGGGACAGCGAGGAGCAGCGGCAGCGATCGCGCCGCGCAGGAGCTGAGCCGGCAGACGGGACAGCACCGGCGGGCTGCGCGCAGCATTAACGGGGARCTGCGAGCGCTCCCGCCGCTGCTCGGGCGATTCGAGCAGTTCGAGCCGCCTCTCCACCTCCCTTTAAAGCGCTCAAGGGCTCCCGGCCCTGAGGCAGCACAGCCCCAGCAATGCCGGCTCCCGCCGCTCGCTGGGCGCTCAGTTCGCTCCTGTGCGCGGTCCCTGCGAGCKGTCCGGGAACAGGACACTGCACGGGGCCGCCGGGATCCCCCGGGAACACTGAAAGTCCCCAGCAACTGCGTATTTGCTTGCTGAGTTCAGCTAACTGAGATCTCAGAGGACTGGAATGTGCAAATACTCTCCAGGGAAGATGGATTAGAGGGCGAGATACCCACAGCAGTCAGAGGCCCTGATAAACACAAACGTGGAGTTCTACAATGGATCAACCCACTATCGCTGCAAAAATTTAACTCTGGCCCCTGATAAGAGGAATGGTTCTTCAGAAGACTTAAGAACACACAAAACTATTACAAAACGCTGCTGCCATGCTGGCAGTTATTCCRAAGATAGGCAAGCTCAGGGTTTTACTCCATTTTGTACGAAAACTCCCTAATGTTGGCTCTCCCATGTGATGACAGAGTTTTTAGGCAAACCATGGGTAGTTTTCTTTGAAGAGAGGAAGTCATAGATGTTGTGTTTCCAGCATCTATACAACTTAATCCCAGGCACAATAAAGGGACAAACCAAATGATTTACAGTTTTATATGAGGATTATTCCCTCAGGCTGATGAATAATACCTTTTCACTTCCCAGCAGTTTCTCTAAACTGTGTTAGTTAAGCCTGTCTCCGCGCTACTTAGAGTTTGCAAAGCSTCGTTGCTCCAGAGGAATCTGACCTCCCTGTGGATTACAGGAGGGCCTTGGGGAAGACTAGCTTTCAGCACTTCTTGAACCACTTCAGCCCAATGTCCCTCTGCTGTCTCTGCACTCTGCTTGGAGCTGTRGGCCAGCCAGTCCTGCTCCCAGTTCTAGGAAGGACCAGGGACTAACCTCTGGGTGGAACAGGAGCCTTCCTGAGCCAGGGAGGGAAAAGGGGCTTCATGCAAAATAGCCATTCAGAGATTGGTGTTTTCTTCTCTGGCATTGCACCCACAGATTTTTTGTGAGGGTTTGGGAAGGAGAAGAAGCTAGAGGGTTGGTGTGGCTTACTGAAATAATTAATTCTCGAGCAAGAGTAAGAGTTGGCTTGCATCTGCACTATTTAATATTAAAACTGGCATAATTTTCTCCTGCACCAGAAGAGTAATACCTTCCSTCACTCTTTGCACCTGACTATTTTCAAAAGCTGGAGTGGCTGAGCAAGCTGCACTCTTGCTGTMCTGCAGGGCCCCTTCCAGTGACTCCATGCCAACAGAGGTGAGATGCTCCACCCAGAGCAGTGGTAGGAGCCAGGGGCAAATCTGCACATCTCAACCTATAGATAGCAGCCTGCTGAGTGTCYGTATCTAAACCGAGTCTGTCTGTTCCTTGCAGCCATGTCTGTTCATGCCAGCATGTGCCTTGGGGCTGCCTGGCTTCAGCAAAGGGAGGTTCAGCTGCAGCAAGTCCCTCGGGGGATCCTAGCAGCAAGCTGGGACCTCTGCTAATTCTCAGTCTTGCAGCAGCCTCGAGGGAATCCTTTGCCAAAGCTGTGGTTTTGGGCAGTGGAAAATCCTTGTTTAAGGGTGAGGAAGTGAGCAAGAGTGGCTCACCAGGCAGCTGAGCACCAGGACTCAGCCATCGGGGCAAACAGCCAAAACCCCACGTTCTTGTGCGATAGATGAAAAATGCTGGGAACTTGGAGTGGCTGGAGTATGTGACGTGCCTCACTGCTATTTGAGCGTGAAGGTTTTGGTTCCTCTGCCTCCCAGAGGCTGAAGTTTCCCATGGGTCTCATACTTGATSTCAGTGTGTAATGCTGCAAAAGGGGGAGAGATGAAGGCTGCTCCTCCCCCGCACTAGTGCTGTTGTAGAGTATCAGGATTTATACAAACATGCAGAGGGAGGAAAGAAATCAGTAGTCTGTTTCCCTGTGAGGACTTATACATGTGGGCCTTAAGCAAGAGGAAGCTGACTTTAATCCCTGGAAGTCACAGAAATAGCAAACTGTCCCACCTCCATGTCATTCCAGAAGTTGTTAAGCTTCCGCTTCCACATACCTCAGTACACCAATAAAGAGTAGTTTTCCATATCTCTGCTTGTTTTCCTTTAGCTGCACTGATGAGGAATATTCATTTCCTGCTCCACTTTGGCAAAGTAACTTTTAAAATCTTAATGAGGATAATGTGACAAAACCTGTTGCTGTGTGTATTTTCAGCAGAACCAGGYGATCCTGTTAATAGGTGTAGTCTGAGCAAGATCCTGCAGAAATGAAACACAGTATCTTTTATTTATGCAGCTTAACACTCAACTGACTTACTGCTCYAGCAATACACTGAATACCCTCTATCATKATTTATTMCTGGTCTTGGTTCTGTTCCTGTTTTCTGTCTAATCTTTCTACTGTTTTGCTTGATTTACCCCAGTGAATCATCAGACAGTTTCCATTATTAAAAAAAATCAATTACTTTGATGTACACTGGGCAGCATAAGCAGGCATTTTGGATGGCAGATCGTGGCAATAATGAATGCCTGAGCTGAAAATAGCTTACTACAGACTGCTGGGATCCAACCACTTTTCCTCCTGCTCCAGAAAGAGAGGTGTGTACCATGAGACTCTCAATTACCACCCCTCGTTTCTGAGCAGGGCASCCAGTGGGCAGCAACCCCCTCCTCGTGCTTTAATCTTCACCAAAGGGAAAGCAACTTCTAAAAATATGGGAAAAGACTCCTAATTTAAGCCCTCTGGGGAAGTTGCTGCAAACTTCAGAACTCCACACAGCCTTTAAGGAAGGCCAGACAGCATCTTGAAACACACCCTAAATCAGATTRTGATGACAACCAAAGGAGCAGTGATTTCTGTTCCTGATATGCAGAGATTAAAAAGACCTATGGTTTATTCTGAAAATCCAAAGGACCAGACTCATTCCTTATGTTGGTCTAATGAGGTCAGAGGAGCAATAGCAGTGAGGAGGACACCCTGCCAACTACTAAATGCAGCTTCTGAGCTATAAGCTTAACTAGATGTGTAATTAGTTGCAGGATGCATAATAAATGGAGACTGCCAGGCTTGACAGGACTAATGTTACTGCTACCAGCTGTGTTTTGGCTTGTGGGCTTACAGGGGGAGGTAATTCTGTCTCTTGGCCCATTTGCTCAGTACGTGTGAGCTGCTGTCTGCTTGTGTTCAAAGGAACTCCACTTCTCAGACAAGTCTTTACATTTCCTGTGATGGTTCCTTGTAGGCAGAGTTGTGCAGGTTTTTATTTAACTCCTCTGAAATTTCAGGACTTGCATTCTCCACCACACAGCCCTGTAGTCCTTTGCTTCATCATGCAAAACCAGGCTTCCCTTCATCTGTGAGCAGCAGTATCCCTAAGAGGAGACGTGTAAAACCAAAGTTACCAGCTTCTCTGTGAGTAACAACTCTTGAAAAATTCCCAACTCCAAGCGTATGTTCTTGTCCCCACCAACTGCAACAAGAAGATGAGAATCTTCTAAAAGGCTTGAAATTAAATTGCTCGATTTCCTGTAAGCCATTCAGCTTCACAGTCACCAGCAGTCCCAGAAATGGAGAATGGCTCCTTGCAAAGGCTTGGTTGTGTGTCACAGGGCCAAGAATCTTAAATCCAGTAAACTCTGTGTTATCTTCACCCTGACTTGGTACTGCACATGCCTTTCCAAGGCCATGCACTCCTTGCCTGTCTGCAGGGTGATGACACCAGCTCTGGGATGTGTTTTGTTCAATTTCTCCCTTCTTAGAAAGTGTCCCATCTGTGGGAGAAGGGGTGCTTTCTGATTTYACTTGGATAACTTGGAGAAGAGCCAGGGCTTTGTCTTTTCCTGGAAATATAGCTGCAGGAAGAATGAATCACTGGGTTGAACCTGTATAACCAACTGAAAACAAAAGCTCAGACTTCTGTGTCTCACTTGCAAATAATGGG